GAAATACTGATCTGAAATTGAATTATTTAAGATTAAACTAACAGTTAAGATTAATATTCATAGAAAACTGAGGGTAGACTTCTGCCTTTTCAGCAGTCTCCACACCATACAGGTCTGCCCAATTTTTCTTGTTTGGTTTTCAGCCTGTTCTATTTATTTATCATCCTAGCAGTGAAAGAGAGAGGTGTCTTGAAATTTTAGACATTAATATTGCCAATATTCTTTGCAATTCAACAGCCAAAGTAACTATTTTATTTTTTAAGTAACTATTTTATTTGTGAGAAAGAATGCCATTTTATGAACAGCAATGCCAGTGATCTGTGGACAGCATGAGCTAGTTCAGAAAAGAAAGAAGAAGAGAGAAAAAATTGTCTCATAGTATTTTTTTTCCCTACATTTTCTGTATATTGCCAACCACAATAAAAAGAAAGTTTGTTCTGACTCAGTGGACTTTGAATATAATGGTTTAAACTGCAGGCATCTCTCATGTATAGATATTGCAAATCATTTGCAATAAAGCAGTCTTTAATTCAGTCTCCAGAGCAAAAGATAAGTGAGTTTTTGTAATGTTATGGTTATGATGGTATAAAGTCTTATTGCATATTATGTTCATTTTGCAGCTACTTGAGGTCAGCCTAACATTTCCCAGCTGGAAAATAATTACCTTGCACTGTTTTCTCATCTTGAGCTACATCCCTAAAATAAACACATGCCTACTGATTGAATGAACAGCACAGAAGAACATAGTTTACTCTCTGCAGTTGATATCTTCTTTTCCCCTCCTTAATAGTAGAAAGACTGAAGATGAGACTACCCTTGCACTCTTGATAGTCTTGCCCTTGTGCATCCCTGTCTTTCGTGGCTTTGCTTCTTCCATCTCCCCAGCTTTTGTACAAAATCTTCTTGTGCTGATGGCTGAGGCACCTGGATAGGTACAGCACCTGGATAGCTTTTTTTTTCCTTTTTTTTCTTTCTTTTTTTTTTTTTTTTCCAAAATCTCTCTTTTTTTTTTTTTTTCTTTTTTTTTTTTTCTGCAATTGGAACTGGGTGCAACAAACCACCTTATCCTGCAGTCCCACTCTCCTTTCCACTGTCAGCTCAGTGGGGTAAAATCCAGGTTAATAATGGTGTGTGCTCATGGTCCTGTATGCAGATATAGAAAGAAATACATCTGTACTACCTCCAAGAAAATGTCTTAAATATAATAAATGTCTTTATCTTCTACCTGTAATACAAGTGCAATTAATTATTTCAGTTTCTTGTTACAGATATCTGTCACAATCGTTTACAATCAGTCTGCCTAGAAAACACAAAGTTGGAGAAGCTAATGTATCTGTTTTTCATTCTTCTGTCATTCATGTAATAGGTAAATCCTTTAAAGGAAAGACAACAGTTTTTAAAAATATTTCTGTGTTTTTGTTTTCGTTTTCCTCACATGGATAAGATTTATTTCATTTTCCACCACTATCCCCTTCTTTTCCTGTAGCTTGAGTTTCTGGACTTGTAGTTGTAAACTACCCATTTAATCATTTAAAAGCAAGAAGGTTAGTAGAATATTTTATTTATTTCTTCTTGGACTTTTCATATTTTTTGTTTTATAAAGTATATGATGTCACGTGTAATTTCAGCCATGTTTAAGAAAACACTTTTCACAACAGTGAAACAGGATAGCATCTCTACATATCACGTTGTCTTAACATGTGCTGCCAGATATAAAAATAGAAATATTAAAAAAAAGATACTTTGGAGAAGCAGATTATAACTTTCAAATTTGAATTAAAACAATAATAGTGATAGAAAAAGAAGAAATTATGATCTTATTTCAGCCCACTGAAAACCTTTTATTTGTGAGGTAACATTAACTGGACCTCCATGACCAGTTTTGAGTGGATCATCCATCAATATTAGGGCATACATAATTGATTTTGTTGGTTGATAAAACCTCCTGTGTAAGACTTTGGAAAATTTTGCAAGAAATCATAAATATTTTCTGGTAATGTTTTATAGAGTACCCGAGAAACTTTGCTATGTAAACAAAACAGACTGTGGGAACTCAGTTGGCAATATGGCTGTGAACTTATTTGCAAATACAGTAAGAAGAAAGTATATGAATTTATTCCAGACTGAAACTTAGCAGGAAATTCTATGTATTATTATTACCTGGTCAGATTTATCCTTTCTTAATTAAAAGGAGCAAGCCAAAAGTTGTTGAACAATAAACAAATTAGGTGAAATATCAGTGTAGTACTTCAAGAGCCCAGCAAAAATTGTGAAATGGTGCGCCATAGAACTAATTGTGTATCTTGTAAAAAAAATGAATTCATGTAAAACATGAATTCAAGTAAAAAACATGAATTATATCAGATATCTTCCAAAGCTCCCTTCCATCCACAAACATTCTGTAATTCTGTTTCAAGTGTTTATTGCCTATCACTGTAGGAGAGTGACAGTCCATTTTTAGTTTTACAAAGGCATTTTGTTCTCACTTTATCAATGTGTACTGATCTCATGGCCCCTGCTCTGTTGAATCACTCTAGTTTAACAAAACTCATGCTGACATTCTTCTTTCTAAAACCAAAGTAGAAGAAGTGAGGGTAATACATGGAAAAGATAGGTTAAGGAGCAAAGAAAATAAATAAATAAATATACAAATACAACTTTCTTTTCAAGCAGGAATTACAAATTGAACCTCACTGAGCACAGTACCACTCAAATATAAGTTACCAAAACGATACCAGTGCCCAGACTAATGAAAATGTAGGCAGTATGTGTCTTTTGTCATGTTCTATACACAAATTTCAGATATTGTTTCACATATTTAATGTAAGAATATTGAGAAATGCTTCAATATTTCTGTAGTGCTTTCAGTGCTTTTATATTTGAAGAAATTTGCACAGAGATACTGTGAAGAGGATTATTCATTTTGAACAATAATGAAATTGCTAAAAAAGCCTTTTTTTCAATCTAATTAATGAAATGAGCAGATGATCAAATTATAAGTAACCTCTCATTTTGAATTGAAGTGTCCTCATGGCAAATGCTGAAAAGAACAATATCTGTATTTGTTTCAAATACGAACCTATACTAAGATCAGTTAACGCACTGTGTGTTAACAAATGATACATGTGACCATGTAGCAGATCTGCATTACCTTGAATGTTTCTCTTAGCTATATAACTCCTTGATTTTACCAGACGTTGACATTCCCTGCTGTAAACTACAGATAACTCCAATGACTGTTGAGTAAAAGCAAATCACCAAACCAACAGCAGCAAAAACAAACAAACAAAACACAACCCACAAACAAAAAAGGTGTCATACTTTGAGTTGAAACTGAAATAGTTGTACTGTTTTCCAGTATTTTCCACATTATTTTTGACTCTACTGCACTGTTTTCAGACTAGTCTTAGCTTTTTACTTTAAGGTTTGCAAATGGCTTCTCTAAAAGATGAGAAGTGTGTCCTAGATCAGGATTCTTAACTATTTCATAGCAAAATTCACTTTATCATACAGCCTTTTTTCAGTCCCTGCCTTCCATTATATACATATTTGTTTGAACAGATCCATCTTATATAATAAGTGTTTTATATGTGTTTGACTTCTGTAACTTCAGTCCAATGAAAATTGGAGTCTCTGGATTCAAAATACACCAAAAAAAACAAAAACAAAAACAAAACAAACACTTAAAATAATCTGATTTATCTTAAACAATATGAGGCCACATTTTATAATTCACATTTACACCTAGAAGAAATTTTTCTTTTCTGTGGAATAAGCACAGTTAAAGATAAAAATTAGATACCCTGAAGCATCACAATTTTTTTTTTAATTTAGTTCTTCCAATCCACTTTATTAGCTCATCTCTACTAAGAGAAGTTAATTACAATTCCAGCAGAGTTCATTGCAACGTATTTTAAAACTAAATGTACAATACTACATTTTAGAATTGTTATGTGAAATTCAGCATTTAAAATTCTACAGGTGTCAATAAACTTCTAACCTACAACAATATCAGCAAATAGAATTAACCTGGTTTTAAGTTTTCACAGGCTGTTCTGAGGGATTAGTTTGTAATGCTTTGATTGTATCCTACTTCAAATTCTTTGTATGGTCTCAGGGATCTATATGCAAATTCATCTATGAAAGTGTAATATAATTTTTAAAAACAAATAAAATAACTCAAAATTGAATAGTAAAACTTAAATAAATGAGAACTCCCAAATTCATGGTGCTCCAAGCAAATGTAAAATAATTGTACTGGAAATATTTGTGTCTTTTTAATAATCTTTATGAGTTTATCCATGTTCTTAAAATTAATATACTCACAGAACTTGAAAAGACTCATGCTAATCACCTCAAGTCAGAGGAATTAACATCTCTTTATTAATACAGAAATGCAGTTTGCATTTCTACCTTCCTTGAAACTCATGTAATGTAATCCTTTGCAATACATGATATGCAAAGAAAAAATTACTTCTCTGAATCAGATTAGTTGACTTAGTAGTAATCCACAAGATACAAAGAAAAAAAACACATAAAATATTATTTGCATCCATTAATATGTGATTAAACAGTGGCACTGAAACAAATCATTTCCCCATTAAAAACTTGGAAAAGCCTCTATGAAGTGTGAATTCTTATGTGGAAATTTATGCAAAACATTCTCAAAAAGAAAACTGAGGGATAAATTAAGACTCAGATATGCCTTATATGTGTCCTTCTATGAGATTAAAAAGTACATATTCCTTATTAACTTATAGGACCCTGAGCTGAGTCTCTCAGTATATATTTATAATATTGTATATACACATACATTAATATATATAAAATAAACCATTTATATGTATTTGCCTAAAAATAGTAAAAAATACTGATGGTCACCTTAGCAGTTCTAATCAGGTAGAAGGAGTACTAACTCATTAGGGCTAGTCCTTAGAAGATGAAAGAAGTATCTTATTTTTAGTGTAATAAAAACATGATAGTAAAAAGATAAAGAGAAATACTTTAAAAGATGTCATTTATTTTGACTGCTGGAGAATGACACTGTGGCATTAAGATGAAAGCTGAAGGAAGAGTAAATATTTTCTGAGTAGAAATTTAACTTTTAGATGAGGGAGAAAAGTTGCACATTAACTCACTAATTGGAGAACAGTCAGCAGAAATCAAGATGATATCTCTTACAGCAGTAAGACATAGAAAACCAGATCATCAAATTAATGTTAATTAAAAATTGTGAAAAAGTTATGAAAATAAGAATATCTTCTTCATCCATGGAGCACATATACCAAATATTAATTATGAATATTTCTCAATTGCGAAACAATTTAATGTGCCACAGATAGCATGCAGCTTCTCAGTCAGAACATGAGAATCTTTAACCCCAACAACATTGCTGTTGGCAGTGAGGAATCTGTAACTGGACATTTTTTCACTGTTATAAGACAACTTACTCATGGCAAACTGGAAAACAGAACTCTAAAATAAATATAAGCTATCAAGCTCTCTCACTTCATTCCCAATAGGAAAAAATGTGGGCAGAGATATGAAACAGTACAGCTACTCTACTACTTCTAACTTATAAATCATTATTGAGGTGCAGTATGATGTATTATGTAAGACTTTTTTACATCTCCACTTGTACAGTTATTTTAGCTAGAGTCATATCTGTTGGCATGCAGAGAAGTTATCCTAATTGGGAAAGAAAGTACCAGTGTTTTAGTTCATCTTTGAACCAATCAATATTTAACTAACAATATGACAAAATAAAAAAAATCTGCAATTAAATGCCATGTGAGTAAGATGGCAATAACATTTTTTACTGATACTTCTCTATATACTAAAATATCAAGATAGGTACTTGTACAGAAAACTCATTTTTCTTTTAGAATGTCCCCAGTTTAAAACATTTCTAACGCGAGATTTTTGTTGTATTTTCTTTTGTTTTGTTCTTTAAATTGCAGATTTCTCCCATAGCCCACACTCTTACTGGCTGTACTTGAAGTTATACCAGAGTTTATCTTCATTTAAATCATTACTCCTCAGCTGGGGAGCGCATAGTAGCTAGTGCATAAAGGTAATCTGTAATATTTAGTATATGACAGTAGCAAGGTTCCTGAAGCAACTTATGGAAATTCTGCATATGTTTTATCTCGTCTGAAAGCGTTTTTCAGAATTTCCTCTGGAAACCATTACTGCAGAATGAAAAGTGAAACTGGGGCAGCTCTTGGCTCCACAGAATTATTAAGCACTTCCACTTACTCTGATTTCTCTCAACCCCCGGTAACCCAATAAAAATTTTAGGAATAGTTCTTTATTAGAAATGTGCTTCCGCAATAACAGGCAAAGGAATATATAGGAGAGAAGATAAGCTTGAGAACAGCACACAACTGCACTCACAACATTATTGCTGACACAGAAATTATGTTAACCAAAAGACCAGTGGTAACCAGGGCTGCATCAAAAGAGGGGTGGCCAGCAAAAAGGGGGAGGGATTGTCCTCTCTGGTACACCCTTGTGAGGCCCCATCTGGAGTTCTGTGTTCAGCCCTGAGGCCCTAGTATAAGAAGGATGTAGAGCTGTTGGAGTGGGCTCAGAGGAGGGCCATGAAAAGAGAGGGAGCAACTCTTCTATGGAGAAATGATGGAACAGCTGGGCTTAATCACCTTGGAGAAGAGAGGCTCCAGGAAGAAGTCATGGCAGCTTTTCAGTACTTGAGAGTAGCTTATAAACAGGAGCAAGAACAACATTTTACAAATCTTATAGTGATAGGAGAAGGAGGAAAGGCTTTGAACTAGAAGTGGGGAGATTTAGGTTAGATGTTAGGAGCAAATTCTTTACTCAGAGGCCAGTGAGGCCCTAGCACAGGCTGCCTGGAGAAGCTGTGGATGCCCCATCCCTGGAGGTGCTAAAGGCCAGGTTGTTTGAATTATGATTATAAGAAAGTGTAGTATAGTGTCAAATATTAGAAATATTAACTTTCCTGAAAATCATTCACCTTGGGAGAAAGCACAATCAATACTTTCTTAAGTTCAGGGTAAATCACCTGTGATTTTTAAAGCTAATAGATGCCATTACTTTCACTAAGAGATGGTGGGTTTGTTGTTCACTCATGGTCTTGAATTTATTAAACAGAAAAGAATAGGAAATCTTGCTGCCATGACATGCTCACACTCTTTCCTACACTTGATTGAATTGTCACAGCTTGATCTCGACCCTTCTGAAATATTAGTTTAAGCATGTAGTTCCTGAAGACTTCTAACTTGACAGGTCCACTCTCCACTCATTACTCTGCATTTCTCCTGGTATATTACCACCAAGAAAGATATAATCACTGTAATTCCTTCAGAGACAGTGAAGGAGATAGAATAGAAACACTATTTCTCCCTGCAATAACTCAGCAAATCCTTTGTGTGAGTTTTGAAGCTTAGAGAGGTCACAGTTACATGTGCACCAAGGTCAATACCAGTGCCATATTAGATCTTTGGATCAAGGATTATCCTTGTCAAAGAATGTGAAGGGGACATCTTATTGCAAGGGAGCTTTTCCTTTCTTACTGAAGGGGAAATTGTATCTATGCTTCAGAAATACACTAATGTCTGTAGCACAGTATTACTACTAGGCATCTATGGAAATATACTTGTTCAGTGCCTACTTAGTGTACAACAGAGCTTTCATTGGGTTCAGTTCTAAAGTCTAGATTTATTCTTCAGCAGTGACGTACAATGGCCTTATAGAAACCCATTTCCAACAAAAATTTAAGACAAAGCTTTACTAGATTTTTTCACCCAGCTCTGCAAGTAACTTTTGGGGAAATGCATTTAGATTTGTTGAAATAAATTTCTTTGCTTTCTCTCTGTGCTCTGCAAGTTATGTTTAAGGTTGTGGTCTCAGGCACAAATGCTCAGAGTCCACACGTGCCTTTCTGATTGTTTTCAGAGCATCTGTACTCAGATGTACCTTAAACTGTTCTTCCGATGCTAAAATACAGGAAATAGAAAAAAAATCTCAGACTTTTAAGGAAAAATACAGATCACAGCCTGGACAGGCAAGTCGAGACAAGCACATAAGAAAGGGTTGATGATAGGTTGGGAATGCAACTGTCTCTACTTTCTGTGTGTAGAAGACACCTGTTTATGAGAACTGCCCTGCAGCAGTAGTAAGTATTCATTCTCATTTATAACTTTGAATAAATAAGATACTTGTATGTAATAATAGCATATTCCTAACTGCTATTTCCTGGTTGCAGTTATTTTCTTCATAGTACGTAAAATAAAAGTTCTTTTTAACCTGTTTAGCAAATTTTGGGGAGCAGAAGGTGGTTGCATGAAAGTCTACTATTTATACAAATTTCTATCTAACAAAGTTATTCTCAGCAATTTTTTATTATTCTTGTTATATTTTCCAGGGAGAGATTCTCCAGGGCTTTTCTCCCTTTATATTAGAGAAGCTTCTTGATAGTGTAATATTTTTATCTGGGTTGAGACACTTTTTATGCATGTGTTCAGTATTTCAGCACATACACTGTAAATTTGGGAGTGCATAATTTACCTCAAACCAAAGAGGCTGATAGCATTTTTATGGATAATACATTATGTGCGACATCTGCCAGGCTCCTTACCATCACACCACACTTCTCCACAACGGTTTATGAGGAGAAATAAAGAAATTTTAGTGTCGGCAAAGATATCCAGAGTAAGAGAATGTAATTATCTCACTGGGGATTTAGCTAGGACAGCAGGCCAAAACACTCCTATCAGTGTGCCAGATTGTCTTTAACAACTACATGAGGCCAGATCTGCAATATGCTTTTCTGTAAGACTAACATTTTGTTGGGAAGTCAGAACCAAGTGAAATGCCAAGATAAAATTGAGGTGCTCTTTGTGGCTTCTCAATACACAGTTCAATAAACACAATGTTAGGATGCAGAATGCATACTTATTCTGCTGCAGAATGAAAATACCTTAGACATAGTGAAAGCAGACAAAGAGAAAGCCAGATGGGTATCTTTCACCATAATCAGTCCCCAGAAGAGGATAGCAGGGTTAGATTTGACTTTGCAATTTTGCATCCACACTACACTTAGCATTAGCCTATGGGAGAGCCTTTGGTATATGTTAATTACAGACAGAATATTTAATGGAATTACAAAATTGTTTACTGTAAATGGTTATGCCACGTTGAAATAGATCCCAAGGACTTGTAGTTATTCAACATTCATGCAGCATTTACCTGTTAAACATTAACTACTGAGGTTAAGAAAGCAGAAGCAATACAAGAACTTTGAGTATTCAAAGCCTATCCATGTCCCAAATCAACATGGATATCAGGAACTGTGATCACCTGGATAACTTTCAGCATCTTCTGTTTCATTTCTTGATTCAGGCAGATGTCCTAAAGGAAAAAAAGAGTTTCTTTAAGCAATATTTTGGCTACTTTACCCATGAAGATTTTAATATACTAATCTATAAAACAGTTTTAAGAGAAATTTGGTGTGTAAATTTCAGTTATATAAGCAGAAATGGGATGTTCTCTATGACCTGAAGTTCATGCAGACAAAAACAAAACAAAACAATTCATATTTAGCGTTATGTCAACTTGTGGGCTATGAGAGTGGTGAGGTGCTGGAACAGCTGCAACACAACAGAGAGGCTGTGGATGCCCTGTCCATCCCTGGAAGTGTTCAAGGCCAGGTTGGATGGGGCCCTGGGCAGCCTGGTCTGGTATCTGGGGGGGGTCGAGCCTCATGATCTTTGAGGTCCTTTCCAGTCCAACCATTCTATGATTCTATGATAAAAAATTGTAGCATGGAAGCCACATTAAAAGAGCAAGTTATTAAAAAGATGTTGGCCTAGATTTTCAGAGCTAGAAAAAAAAAATCTATAACCTGGAGCTTTTTCTGTGCATATTTATCCTTTTCATTTAACATAAGATATTTTATCAAATAGGCTAAGGTATATCTGTTATTCTTCAAGCTGAATGGAATTCAGAGGTTTGAAACTTGAAAATACTGAGCACAACAGCACATTGGCAGCTGAAGACATGAACCGTTCAATCAGTATCAGAAAGGATTATACTTTCACTACAAAATTCTGACACATTTCTTAGTTGAATCTGTATACAACACAGGATCACCGCTCGAAGTTTATATCATCACAGAGACTGGGAAAAACGATGCCTTGCTCTGATAATTTTGTTCCTGTGAAAAAAAGAAATCTAGGCTGATAAAGTAACATATATACTTTTTTTTTGTATCTAACGTTTACAACTTACTTACTTGAGAATCTCCTGCCATAAATAAAAATGAATATTGCATGTGACAGTACAGATCTGTGGCACTAAAATTTTTGAAAAGTGTGCTTCAATGTCTGTAGTACTATTGTTGTTTGAAATAGACATGAAATAACATAATTTCTTACAGAAATTACTATGGTTTCTTTCTTCTACTCAGTATCAGATATGTTGAAGAATTTTCACGATACAAAGAAACGTTAGTACTCTAAAAGTGATTCAGAAAAAAACTCCTTAAAATTATTCTGCTTTATAATTACTTAATTATTTTGTCTATAGAGGCATTGAGTGTTTACAAAAAGGGTGAGGTAACCCCTTTGATCACATGCCTACAGGAGATGCATACTGATTTATGAGTTAGATTTGCATGTCAAAACTTATTTGTTTCACTTACTTGTGGTACAAATGACCTTCCTATTCTAGGAAATTATTTACATGTTAATTATTTACATGTTTACAAGTGTGTTACCAAGTAATCAAAGACAAAACCTATGTCTGTAAAACAAATAAAGCTAGGAAATGATTAAACATAGATTTGCTCATTACAAATAGATATTCTATACATAAAATCAAGTGCCTCTAGGAGGGAAAAAGCGAAGCCCTGTATCCTGTAAATGCATCTGCAGGTAAATTAGCTTTCCGATAAGGCCTGTATGCACCAGTAGTAAATGTGTCAGTATTTTATGTGGCACTGAAATGGCATTTCTTATCCATTAAAATCATACGATCATAAAGTCATCAAGGTTGACCACTAAAATCATCTAGTCCAACCATCAGTTCATCATCACCACACCTACTAAACCATGTGCCACATCCCACCTTTTCTTGAATACCTTCATGGACAGGTGACTCCACCACTTCCCTGGACAGCCTGCCCCACTACCTTACCACATTTTCTGAGAATAAACTTTCCCTAATGAACCTCCCCTGATCAATTAAGTCCATTTTCTCTGGTTCTATCGCTGTTACCTGTGAGTAGAGGCTGACTCCTACCTTGCTACAACCTCATTTCAGGAAGTTGTAGAGAGCAATAACATCTCCCCTGAGCAATTCCCTGTACAATATGGCCACATCACTCAACCTCTTAATAAACTGGCTAAATTAATATTAAAACACACCCCTACGTTCCTCTGATTCTATTCAATTCTTTCATAGTTTTATTCAATTCTTTTATAGTTTTATAACTATCCTAATTATTTGAAAGCTTTTAGATTTTAATGTAAATTTATTCATGGCTAATTAATTTCTAGTCTTTATGCTTTTGTTTTCAGTTCAGGGGAGATCACTCTTCTTCTCCAGCAGCCATCTTCTAACCATTGCATTTATGAAGAGCAACCACATCTCCTCTCATCTTTTGGTTTTCTTGGATGAAAATAACAAATTGTCATCTGCATTTTCTCAGGTAGGCTTTCCATATTCTTCTTCACTGCAACTGTTCCATTCATAGTTAATTATTCCTGTAATTGTTGTACCAGAACTCTGAGAGGTGCTATGCATGAGGTTTTAATAGTGACTTATATAACAGTGCCCAATAATTAAAGAATATGATCATCAGATACATATTATCATTCTCCTTTGACATGGCTATACCAAAGTAGTAGGTAGTCACATCATCATGAAAATAAGAGCTGGGCAAAATCCCACAAAACAAATGACAGTGCATCTGTGTTAGCTATTATATGATCATGCTACAGATTATAAGAAAACTACAGAAATTGTTGTTTTTATATGTTGTCCAGATGTACAAAATCATTACATGTCTTTTTGTTACAGAATGGTGCAGAGATTAATAAAAACTCCATAGAGTAATACTTATTATTTCACTTTGCTTTCTGTTAGCAATAGCATATGAGTGTGTGCATGTGTATAAGGTCAGAGAAGAGAGGAAGATGAGACAAATGATTTGACTGTTAACTTAAAGCATCTGGTAAATGAAACTGCAAAATTACCTAAAGCTAATTCTACAGAGTAAACTTCTTTTACACGACATTTCAATTCTTCTCTTCAAATGTAAATATCCAGTAAGTTTTATAAACTGTTTCTGTTTTTTAAGTGAACTTTACGTATTCATTTCAGGGCAAGACTGATTGTTCAGTGCAATGATGATATTACTCTGTGTTGCTAAATACTTGGCAAAGGGAGTTGAGAATGCCCAGACCAAGGACTGAGCAAATATTTTGAATCAGTATTTTGGAGATCAGCCACAAGACCAGAAGCTGGTGAAAACACTGATAACTGAATCTAATTTAGAGAGAATAACATTCAGTCAAAATAAAAATAAATAAATAAACACTAATGTATAAATTAATAGTAAATTAGTGGACAAAAATATTTTTCTGCAGATCACAGAATCACAGAATCACCAAGGTTGGAAAAGACCTACAAAATCGTCCAGTTCAACCACCCATCACCAATAGTTCTCACTAAACCACCTCCCTCAACACAAAATCCAAACGTTCCTTGAACATCTCCAGGGTCGGTGACTCCACCACCTCCCTCGTCAGCCCATTCCACTGCATGACCACTCTTTCAGAGAAATAGTATTTCCTAACGTCCCCTGGCACAGCTTGAAGCCATTCCCTCTAGTTCTATCACCAATCACATGAGAGAAAAGGCCGACCCCCAGCTCACTGCAACCTCCTTTCAGGCAGTTACAGAGAGCAATGAGGTCTCCCCTGAGCCTCCTCCAGACTGAACATTCCCAGCTCCTTCAGCCTCTCCTCATCAGCCCTGTGCTCCAGACCCCTCACCAGCTTTGTCGCCCTTCTTTGAACCCGCTCCAGGGCTTCAATGTCTTTCTTGCAGTGAGAGGCCCAAAACTGGACACAGTACTCGAGGTGTGGCCTCACCAGAGCTGAGTACAGGGGAAAATCACTTCCCTGTTCCTGCTGGCAACACTGTTTCTGATGCAAGCCAGGATGCCATTGGCCTGTTTGGCCACCTGGGCACACTGCTGGCTCATGTTCAGCTGAGCATCAATCAATACCCACAGGTCCATTTCCTCCACACAGTCTTCCAGTCATTCTGCCCCAAGCCTGTAGCGTTGCCTGGGTTTTTTGTGGCCAAAGTGCAGGACTCGACACTTGGTTTTGTTGAACCTCATCCCACTGGCTTCAGCCCAGCTCTCCAGCCTGTCCAGATCCCTCTGTAGGGCCTCGCTACCCCCAGGCAGATCCACATTTCCAGCCAATTTGGTGTCATCTGCAAAGCTACTGAGGGTGCACTCAGTGCCCTCATCCAGGTCATCAATAAAGATACTGAAGAGGACAGGCCCCAGCACCGACCCCTGGAGAACATAACTTGTGACAGGTCTCCAGCTGCATTTAGCTCCATTCACCACCACTCTCTGGGCCCAGCTCTACAGGCAGTTCCTTATCCGGCCTAGAGTGTACCTGTCCAAGCCATGGGCTGCCAGCTTCTGCAGGAGAATGCTGCAGGAGACACTGTCAAAAGCTTTGCTGAAGTGTAGGCAGACTACATCAACAGACTTTCCCTCGTCTACCAAACAGTCACTAGATCATAGAAGGACATCAGGCTGGTCAAGCAGGACCTGCCCTCCGTGAACCCATGCTGGCTGGGCCTGATCCCCTGGTTGTCCCACACGTGCCGCGTGATCTCAACACAGAAATCTGTCAGTTGGAGAGGATGTGTCTTCACATTCTGCCTTGTTGGGTTAGAGGCCAAGACACCAACAGTCTGCATATTTAATTTAATGTTGATGAATTCAATGTATATTAAAAAATCTGCTTATTGATATTTATAAAGCTAAGTAATCAATGCAGAAAAAAAAATCACTGTATACAGAAATTAAAAACATGTGCGAGTGTTAGTTTATGTACACATACATCAGTATATAATTATATGTTTATTTTTGTGAAATATGAATATGTGCATGTGTTATAGAATAATAGAATAGTTAGGGTTGGAATGGATATTGGTTTAACCCCACTGCCATAGGTAGGCACATCTATACTCACTAGACCAGGTTGTCCTGTCCAATCCTATCCAATCCGGCCTTGAATATTTCCAGAGATGGAGAATCCACTGGTTCTCTGGGCAATATCATCACCCTCATAGTAAGGAATATCCTCCTAACATCAAATCTAAACCTACCCTCCTACTTCGAAGGATCCCATGTCCTGTCAATGCACTCCCTGACAAAGAGTCCCTCCCCACCTTTACTGTAGACTCCCCTTAGGCATTGAAAGGCCACCACAGCCCTTCCACAGAGCCTTCTTTTTCCAGGATGAACAGCTTCATCTATCTCAGCCTCTTTTAGTAGGAGCGATGTACTAGCCTTCTGATCATCTCTATGGAACTCCTTTTGACCCGCTCAAATGGCTTCACATCTTTCCTGTGTTGGGGATGGATGCAGTACTCCATGTGACATCTTATGAGAGCAGATCAGAAGTGGATAATCTTCTCCCTAACCCTGCTGTCCACATGTATTTTGATGCAGCCCAGGATGCGTAGAATCATAGAATTACCAAGGTTAGAAAAGAATTCCAACATCATCCAGTCCAACAGCTGGCCTTCTGGATTGCAAACACACATTGACAGCTCATGTTGAATTTTTTATCAATCAAGAGCCATAAGTCCTTCTCCTCAGGGCTGGTGTCAATCCATTCTCCACCAAATCTGCATTCATGCTTGGGATTGCTCCAGCCCAGGTGCAGCACCTTGCTCTTGATTTTGTGGAACTGCATGTTGTCTGCACAGGCCTATCTCTCAAGTCTGTAAGATTTTTAAAATAGCAGAGAAAGCAAGTTTGAAAACATTCAGTGTTCCTTTGGTTTCTTTTTTGTGTATGTAAGTCTTAGAAGCATAAACAATTTAGCACTTTACTTCTCTTGTTCAAAATATGTATGTGGCATTAACAAAGAGTTTTTTGAGGTTATATTAGTAGATAAAAGCATATTTATGTTCATCTACAAAATCTGAAAAGGCAGCATGATTTAGCAGAGCACAATACAAATCTTTTCTATTTCTAACAATAAGAGTGATCACTGAAGCACTATCAAACACTTGCAATCACGCCTCTGCCTAATATTTTATTAAATGATCTAAAAAAATGACTCAAGCAATTTTAAATTTTCCATTAAAGAGGAAGTGAGAATCTTGTGTTGATCTCTAAAGCTTTTAGCCACAAGATATGATGTACATGATTTGTTTCTTGAAACAAAATAGTATGTTAGCCATTGCTCAAATC